ACTAGGTCCCTTCCGACCCTTAATCTATGAATCTATGATATCACAGTGCTTCATTCTGAAATGGTTCCAACTCTTAGATACAGATTTCATGACCAATTTGTTACCATGCTCATCAAACCCACAGCTTGCTAGAAAACATTTCCACTAGTTACTCCACATACTGCTAGGAAAGGTGATGGTACAACATGCTTAACACCCAGACCATCGTTTTCCTCATGGTTCCCACATAAGTCCCCCACTGCAGTAACTTGTACCTTCATAGATACAGAGGAGCAGCAGCAGCAGCTCTGGGAAAGCTCACTGCGCCTAAAGCAGAAAGAGAAGTAAACTTTTTTTTTTTAAGCAGAGAAAGGACATACAAAGCTTCCAGGCAACCAGTGTATACCTGCTGAGTAATTGCAGCAAGGCAAAGAAAGAGTGCAAGGGGTCTGCAAGAGAGGCAGCAAAGAATGAACTCCAGGCAACACCACCAACTGCTACCTATATTGGTTGTGCCTGGCTACAGGCAGAAACATGGTCTTACAGTAATACTATCTTGCAGAGATGCATTCTATAATCTGGCATTACCAAAATGGCTAGAAGCATTAAAAGAAGAGAAAAGGGTAGAAAGCTCTACATAATTGTAATGGTAAAGATTTGCTGGGCTGTACGAGTGATGGTTTCTAACACTGGGTGAATACAATCTCTCAGGTCTTCATTTCAGAATCTTAGTCTCCATCAGAAGCACAAACCAGAAGCTGACTCATCAAAACCCCTACCATCAATACAATTTTACCATCTGTTTGGTCTTTCACTTATCTCCTTGCTCCCATTGATTATCACGAACTGTGAGCCATTAGCTTTAGGAAAAAGGGAAATAAAACACATATCCGCATGCGTGTTCAAATGGGGTAGTGGCTGAAACATAATTCTGACTTTGCTTTGATCTTTCAATTTACCTTGCTGTTTCCTTCCTATGAATATCCTAAAAATAAAGAGAAGTAAAATATAAGAACTAAATCAAAATACTTTTATAGTTATATTAGAATGACTGTGCTTCCTCTGTCAAAAACATCATTACAGTGGAAAAGACACATTGCTGCCTGCAGTACACTTGCATAGAAAGACCAGATTGAGGGTATTAGTCTATGGACTAGTCTCCATAGGGAGAACAGGAAAAATAGTTGCTGGAACTGAGCTACACAAAATACTATTACTGCTCTGAGTGTCAGTGTTCCCGTTCCCATCCCCACATTGTTGTTTTAGTTTTTAACTCATAAAATGGGGAAAAAAATCCCACAACCCAAAATTCTACTGGGACTGTGCACTGAAAGAAATCACTAGATGATATATAGTTGCTTTGTGGATTATGTACAAAAGAATAGATGGAGAACTGCTGGACTAGACAGCCTAATAGGTTCCATCTAACATATGTCATCACTAACACAATTCCTAAATTTAATTAAAAATGTTTTTAAGCACAACAAAATTATTAGGATGGAAACCAGTTCAAGAGTTTAGTAACCAAAACCCATTCTTCTTTTCATTTTCCAGGGTTCTATTAACAAATTCATTCATGTTATTAGCAACATAAAATAAGGTGGGCAAATCCATGCCATGGCAGCAGAAGCAGTTCTACTTCATTGCTGTTGCAACAGCACCCAGATGCACAGACCCTGCAGTGCTGCCATAGTAGCAATAACTGGTATGGCTAGACTATGTTGTGGCAGCAGGTAAGACTCCCAGACCAGTCCCTGGAGCAAAAGGTAAAACTTCTCCTGCCCTGACCCTGCTCCTCACTCCCAGTCTCACACCTCCTCCTCCTGCTCATTATGCTTCTTGAAATGTTCCCATTTAGTTCAATGGAGTTACTCTTCTTGCAAATCTACCCTGCCTTCTGCCTGATTTAAGACTAACATCAAAAACTCTCTCACTTTAATGTATCTGACAGCAAAGCTGGCTACCTGCAAAATGCAGCAGCTAGAGAAAAGAAGAGGGATAGAAAAAAGCAGAAAATGTGGCTTTAGTGTTCTTGAGAGGTTCCTTACAGGATTTCAACAACAATTATTGATAGTTTCTATATTTCTAGAAAGGAGTTGATTTTCCAACATTTTACATTTCAAAACCACCAAAAAAACCCCTCACCATCTTCTGCTAGACATTGTATTACTTTGAGGTCTTTATACTACCTGTATGCACCAAGAAATTATTACCACCACACCTCCTTGTGGGTATGTGGAAGGAGGAAGGGGGAGACAGCGTTAAACAAGTAGTGAAAACTTGCAAGCTCTTTTCATTTAAATTTCTGTTTAGTGATAAATCATCCTTAAACAGTTTACCAACAGAATAAATAGAAAAAGAAGTTTTCATTATATAGTTGAGATTATAATCATTAGGCTTTTCCATCACCAAGGGTAAAACTAAGTGAGGACTATTAAACAGTGTAAATGTTTCAACTATAGGAACAATTTTGTGGAATAGTTTTAAGCCAATCTACTGTGTAAATTTAACAGTCAATAATTCTCAACTTTTCTCATTTTCCCCCATGCTGCTTTGGTCTAAATATATTCATTGCGTTTCAACATAAAATATGGAAGAGTCTCAAGCACCATCTAGTGTAGAGTATGATATGAAGGCCTGTAATTAGGGGGAGATCTGGAGTTGGTTTTCAGCCCCACTTCCAACTTGTTTAAAATCATATAGCAAGTACTTGAGAGGGGAAGAGAGAAACCAAAACCAACCCCCCACCCTGAATAATCATAACCAGTGTATAGTGACTTTGTGAACTTCATTAATTCATTAACAGGGAATTGCTTGAAGATTAACAGGTAGAAGGCCTCTAGTAGTGTTTACAAAAAGCCTGGCCACTCCTGAAATTATGGAACAGTTTAATCTGGTTTTGTGTAATAAAGTAACTCACACATTGTGTTAAATGGAGTGGTGTAAATAAAGAGCTTGTGAAGTGCTTGGCCTATATAATGAAGCATAACATGGCAAAAATGGGTAGAAAATTCATATGGAAAATTAGATAATAAGATGCCTTCTAATGAATTCATTTTTATTAGGCAATCTGATAATTTATAATAAAAAATACTTTGGACAAAGTATTAATACAATTACCATCATGCTCTACCTAATAATAATAATAATAATTAAAATTAAATAACACCTGATTCACCATCCTATCATTGTTAAGGCAAAGTTGGACAGGTAAATAAGTAATTCATTTACTGTGGTGTTAATAGATCTGCTCTTCTTTAAGAGACAATGGAATTAATTATACGATCTCTGTGATGATTTGGAAAAGTATAGTAGGGGTATAGATAGATAAAAGAATAGCAATTTAGATGACTAACATTTTATGAAGATACAACATTTATATTTGTAGTCGGTCATTTAATCACTTTAAGCCAAATCCTAGATCCTTGCTCAATGCAATTAAACAGGATTTGCTCCAATTCTTTTAATGATTTGGGGGGAATGATCCTTTCCCCATGAATAGAAAAGGAAAGCACCTGCTAATTCAGCTCAAGGGGGATATCAGCTACTAAACCCATCAAATTCTGATACAGAAGAGTTCTCATAATTGGATCAACACAATTGCATCCCCCTTCACTATGCTCTTAGTGCCACTAAGTCCTCAACTTCTCTTACCCTTGGCACCGTTAGAGAGAGGCAGTTATTAAAAACATACAGATAATAAGTTTTACAACAATCTTCCAAATCACTGCAGCAGCAGTGTTGTAAAATGCCTCAATACATTTTAGAATTAATATTGACTATTACGAGTTTACTTAAAAATGAAAAGAAGCCATTTAGGAACAGTCTTCTACAGTCAACATAGGTGCAAATTATTCTTGTGAGAGCTCTGCAGACAGTAGCTACCACCTAAAACCACATAATGCTGCTGGATTTAAGGTTTCTGCACTTGCTGAGGGGTACGGAGGCAATATTTGGTGTGTTGGGGAAAACCACTTTGAATACTACAGAACTGAGGGAGACCAATTACTTACTTGGCAGGCATTATAAATCAACTGGTGATCCAATTTTTTGATCCCTAGAATCTGTTGAAACATTTCATAAAGCTGTTCCTTGCTCAGAATAAGTTCCGATACAGCACTTAACGCCATTCTATTCGGCTGTTTGCAAAAGTCCTCTTCTCCCCTGTATATGGTATCGTATTTGGCTAGCCAAGAACTTAACACTGTCTCCTTGCTTAATCCATCAATCTCTGGCAAACTTCGGACCCTCTTTTCTATGTTTTTCTTAAAAACATCTCTAAAGTCATTTGCAGAGCATCCTCCACTGTGAACCATTCGGGCAACTCGGTCACTCTTGAGAAAAACCTTTTGAAACGAAACAAAAACAAAAAAAAGTTAGATGCACATATAAAAACTGACCAAACTAGTGTACTGGAGTTACATATGAGCATTGTGCAATTAAAAAAAAAAAGAGTGTCATAATAT